AACAACGTGAAGCTCGATGACTGCGAAGACTATGAAATCATTTCATCGTGCTAAGAATTTTTCGAAAAATGCTTAAAAGAAGGTTAATAAAGCAAGGATGAAAGACTTTGATGGTTTAAAGTCGAAAACTGCGAAAATAATCGAAGTAATTAAGCAGAAAACCATTGTTATATTGTTACTGCGAATAAAAACTTGGTAGCCTTCTCTACATTGGCTGAAATATAGTGAAGATAAACGATTTTTTTGGTAGGTTATTTCTGAGACACTCTGTGTATCTGTCACATAATTCTGTTTTTTTTAATTAGACCTGTACTGATTCTTTTTTTTCTTCTATTGTTTTGAAATCAATGTAATTTATTTTTATTATTTAAATAGTGCATTGAATTTTTTTTTAAACAAAAAAAATACGTTGAATCGATTCAATATCACCACGACAAATAGGACAATGATTTTGAATTTTCTTTGCACACGTTGCACAACAACACAAATGATTACATGGAGATATTAAACAGCATCGTTCACCTGATAAACAGATAACGCATTCCAATTGTTTTCGTAATTCTTCATATTCTTTTTGATTTATTTCATCATGATCTTGATTTAAAATGCCTTTACATGATTGTTCTGAATTAATTTGATTTTTAGATGTTGTTGGAAAAGTTAAACGATGCAAAACTTGTTCATTTCGTACTGCCAAGTGTTCGTGGGCCCAAACAAAAAAATTACATTTTCTAATAGTTTTCCAATTGGGACATCCAAAAAAATATGTATTGTTATTGACATTCTCTTTTTTTGATTGATAAAAAGTTGCCACATCACCACAATGACATCGAACTGATGGTAGACGACATGGAGCAATATATTCTTTTGAATGAATTTTTATTGTTGCTCTATATCAATCAATTTAAAATTAATCAAAAAAAAGCATTTATTCAACTTACAAACACATTTCACAATCGAAAGACAATGGTAATGAATTTGTTTGGTAATAATGTTCAAGATTTTCATCATGTAAATGAAATAAACAAACCATACTACCAGATTTGTAACGACCACAAACAAATATATTATCATTAGTATGTTTAGCCACAAATGAACAGAAGCATCTTACTGGATTTCGAATGTTATAGGCTGACATTGTTAGAGTACTACTCAGAATTTTTATTAATGAGAATAATGAAACTGTGATAAAAAGGCGGTAAATCACGTTAATTAAGAATACAATTCATGAGTATCTCTCTTATTAGTAAAATAAGAAATTTTTATATATGGTTTAAATCAATAGTGCAATAGCTATCAATTGAGTCAAAATCCTTGTAACATCAAGAGCAATGAAAAATCACATTAGATTGTTTTAATATCTGTTCTATAAGGTTAAAACTGAAGCCATGTGTAATGATCAAATTTTTGAGTATTTTATATATGAAAATTATTAAAATAATACAATGTGATTTTTAATTGCCATTGTAGTAGAAAAATATATAGCACATCTTTAACAGAAATTTTAGTTTATTCGACATTGATAAAATTTGTTTCGATATCTTTTCGGTATGTTTCCAAAAATTTATTTTTCATATCATCTTTTTGAATTCGAAAAGATACTTCAGCACCATCATGATCTTTTATCCAATGACCTTCTTTGTTTTTGACAGAATTTAATCGAAAAATACGAAAATAAGGTTTTAAGGATGTCATTGTATGAAATCGACATTGATTTATCATACCGAAATCAACTTGATTCGACCAATCATATTTAAAATTAGAATTAATTACAACTTCATTTGTATCCCATACACAAATTAATTTATCATCTTTAATAATTTGTCTCATCATTAGATCAACTGTTGGTATCCATTTCATAAGAAAATCTTCATTACGACATTTATTAATCGCTTGTCGAATTGTCTTAGCAATAGAAATCAACGAGAATGGATTTGGAAAATCTGAAGTTAGCATGATTACAAATGAATTGGCTACATGACCAGCCGGAGCTATTGAATGTAGTATATCTCGATAATTAACAAGAATATAAGCACGTTGAAAATATTCGTTTGATATCTGTATCGAATTTCTGTTCATAGTGACAATCATATAAGCATTAAGTACATCATGAACTGTTACTTCATCTTTACCACTAGCACAGCTATGTAATTTCGTAAGTTGCATCGAAGAAAACGATATATTAAGTTGATCAGTCGTTGCTTGATCTCTAGCAATACAACTTACAACTATCTCACGCTTGTCGGCATTTCGATATAGTTTTAAGTTGGATAAGAGAGAGAGACATCAGCATCATCTTTAGTCCACAAATCTCTATCAAACAGAGGACGAGGTAGAAGAGGTTCTAAACCTTGATAGAGCCGGCTAAGATCATTAAGAAAATGAATATTTGAAGCAGCATCACCAACTAGATGAGAGAAACTTGTTCCGAGTACATATTCATTACTACGAAGTAATCGAGTGACTTTCACACGAAGAAGAGATTCATCCATGGGCTTGTATTGTACAACATCAATGAAAGATTCACATATTGTCGTATCAGCAATAAGAACAGGTAGATTAGGTCAACATTCGAGTTGATCGTTTTCGGTATAAGTGAACGGAATTGGTTGATCAGAAAATTCAATTAGATATTGATCATCATTGACTAAAACCCGACCAGCTACAATCGGTCAAATCGATAATGTACGACTGAGAGCTTGTTTTAATCGATCGATGTCCAGTAATGGATAAACAAAAATGTTATCAATACTTTCAAATATCAAGTCTATACCAGTTAATGTTATTCGACGAGTATTTCCTGTCGGTGGACAAGGTATAATATGTGATGTTATGTTTACCATCAAAGGATTTCTTACGAATGCTATTATATAAAATGTTCGAGATTGTCGAAATTTCAAATATTTTTACGAATCTATGAGTTGTAATTTCGTCAGAACATTGTCTTTTTGTTCTTATCTTTTTGCCTACGAAGAGTCACAGAATGTTAAAGAGGACAAGATAAAATATGCATAAGAAGAAGAGTGACAATTTATAGCAATTATAATTAAAAAAAAAATGATTTCTGTCTTTTATCAGACATTTGCAAATTAAGTTTATTTCCATTTATTAAATTCATTCGAAATAGAAACTAAATCAAAAATATTCAAAAATAGGAAAAAAAAACTTTTGTTTGTTCGTTGCTTGAATACTGAACTTTTTTGTTGTATATCATTATAAACCATCAGACAACCAGAAAAAGAAGGCCCTTGTCTATAGGCGTCAATTTTTTTCCGAAGTGTTCATGAGATGGAAACAAATAACAGAAGCAAAGCAAGAATATGAACTGTTTACATTCACAAACCATTCATGGTTAGTAATAATAGATCACACAAATGAAATAAACATATATATAGATTAAGGTAATTTAGTCAAACGATGCATTTCATAAAGTTCTTGTGTAATACTTTCAATTTTATTACACGATTGTACAATATCAATAGCTAATGAATCAATTTCTTCATAACTTCGTTTATTCAGTAATTTATTGATTAATATATGACGATTAGGAACTGTCAATCGAATAGCAGCATGTATTCTAAATAAAATAAAACAATGTATGTTTTTGCATTAAGAATTTGATTTGTTATATTTCCCTTGTATCTGATCGTTAGATAGTTATACATGCAGGTTTAATAATCGAGAAAAAAAATGCGTCAGCTTGTTGAGACTACTTACGATAAGTACCAATATACTAGTATCTTATTGAAGAAGAAAAATCAATCAATAAGTGATCGGTTGTCTCTAATATTAGAGTTGGAACTTGAAACATTAGCATAAAGGTTAAGGAATGCATGATGAACGACTTTTTTGCCATCAAAGTGTTTGCTATAAAAAAAACCGTTATTACCGTATGTTCTTAACAACTCAATCGACTTTAGCATTACATTCCGAGGTGCAACTCTCGATAAAAATTGTCTCTCCTTTGGATCTTAGCCATGATAACCGCAAAAGGCTACCTATTGACGTTTGTATTTGTTCTTGACAAATAAATGATCAATTCTGAATATTTTCATATGTTACACATGCATATTCTATGATATTTCTTCATTCAAAAGTTAAAAGCAAAAAAAACACGTTTGAAGGTCTAAATTTGCCATTACTTTCACGTGCATGAAAAATACTCAAACAATTCAAAACTCGACAAGGAACGCTCATGAACACAAACTTTCAGTTATGAGTAAGATAATAGCTCAACTTCTAAACAAATTCTTCAGTACTTGTTTTTGTTTTATTTAGTCGTTGACTCGCACTTTTTCGAGTCATCTTTCTTAACTGATTGTTCTAATTATTTATGATTTATTAGATAATTTCCTTGAAACCACCGAATACATGACTATAATCTTCAATTCTGGTTCGGACAACTTTCTTCACGAAGTCTCGGTTCTGCTCTCAGACATCTCTAGTGTCAAACATAGTTGTAAAACTTTTAAAAAATGTATCAATGAAATTAAAATCATTCATACGTTTGTCTAACAGGCCATGAATGAAAATATCCAAGTGTTGATGAATAAGCATTCCAAGCAATTGATGCTGAACTTGCATCATCAGGTGCTGTACGCATTTGACTTAAAAAAGATGAAATAAAAGCAAGTGCTCGATGTAATCTTAATAATGTTCGACAACCATTTGGTAAAATTTTTCCAGATTTACTATGTATTGTTGTTTCTTTTGTTTTAACACGTCCTATTTTAACTTCATAATCTATCATAGATTGTATAGTTTCATAATTAATTGGATCAATATGTTGATACTCTTTAAGAATAACTAATTTATTATTTAAATCTTTTATTGCCCATTCAAAAACAGGGCCAAGAGAACAAACAAAACTAAAGAAAAAAAAATTATTTACAAGAGAATAATTTTTTTGTTGAACAAAAAAAAAAATCTTACATGCATAATTCTTCATAAGCACGAATATATTCATTAAGAAAAAGTATATTATCTGGTTGAATACAATTAACAAAAGCATCTCGTACTTTTTTTAAATCAAATTGATGTATATGATGAGTTGTTGGAATTTCAGATGATGTACTAATATTAGTATCTATATGACTGTGTGTTATTGGAGCAGATGCCATAGGTTATTTATATATATATATGTATATGTATATCACAGATTTCAGTGTTTTAGAAAACAAAATGAAATATGTTATCTGAAAATGTATTAAACTAATATTATCAAATAAATCTGTTATATATATTCACAAGGAAAGAAATATAGCTTATATATGTGATTTTTTTTCAAAAAAAAAACCAGTTTCTTTTTTCTTATTTAATCATCATCCATTTTATCACCTGTATCCGATGATGCAATTGATTGCATGTCAATATCATCATCGTCTAATCCATTTGCAAATTCATTACTTGATGTTGAATTTTCAACAAGTTCTGATATTCGAACTGATGGTCCATCAGATGAAAGTGATGATGATGATGGATTTGATAATGCTTGAGATAAACTAAATAAACAAAAAAACAAAGAATTTTATAACAATGTTATTATGTTGTTTGGCTTGTTTCTTTTCACTATGCAAACAAAAAAGTAACAGAATTCACTTGAGTCATCTGACGTATGTCGACTATAATGGGAGAATTAACCAATACAAAATTATGATTCAGAAAAAGGGGTTTTTTTTTCTTCCGTGTAAATTTGATAATAAAATATTCAGAGTAAATATTTGACATAGCTAAAGAAAAATACGATTTGACTACGACTCGGAATGTAATGATAATGATCAATCACTTACAAACGAGCCTTCTCAAATGCGCTCTTTCGATTTCAATGTTAGTTTTTGTTTACAGATACTACTTAGTATTCTAATAAAAATCCTAAAAACAATTGAATTTGACTGTTGTTCAAAACTTGTGAATTTTTTTATGGAAGCTCATCTAATTGAGATCTCTATATGTGCAAAGATTCAAACTAAAAGCCGAAAATACGATTTTTCCAAAGACTTCAGGTCACACAGAGACCTCTAGAAAAATATACATATTAAAAATTCAATAGCTTAGTCAAATATCAATTGGAATCCAAATCCTTCTAGGACTATTTTTAGAATACTATGTAATATCTAAAGATAAAAACATAACAATTATACACAGATCGATTATCGTTATCATTCCATTGATAAATACTACTAAAGAAACACAGTGTCGAATATTAAGAAAATTCGATATTGTCACAAAGGTTTTGTTTATATGAATGTGTATTAAATGCAAGAAAAGATTGCAATGATTCAAGATAATTTTTACATAAATCTCAGTTTGAACTAGTTGTTAAGCATTGTTAAGAAAATTCAAAAATCTAGACGAAATTTTTCACGTTCTGTGTTCGTCTATGTCGACTTTAGAAATTCTCTATGGAAGTTTTATTAAATAAAAATGATGCCGAAATAATTTCACTTTCAATCAATTAAAATATTCATAGAAAATATGAAGAATTAATCTAGATAACTTACGGAGTTGCAGTTGGTTCAACAATAAAATAAGCTGATTGTGATTGATGAATAGTTGAAAAATCATCGACATCTGGTTTTAATTCAGTTACTAATAAACTATTATTAGATTGATTTGATTGAGAATAACTTCTATCAAAATTAAAAAAATATTCATAATCATTATCAATACAAGAAAAATATCGATATTAAAATTTCTTTTTACCGTTTCATTGTTGGACTTCGTTTTCTTGCACTATCACATGGTGGTTCTTCAACTGTATAAGGTGTTGGTATTAATGGTATTTTAAAAAGATGATCATCATTTTCATATTTAATTTCATCAGATACAACAGAAGATAAAATTGTATTATCAACTAATTTGTCTTCTTCTTGTTCTTTAGATTTATCATCTGTTGTTACATTATCATTACTTAATTGAGCCGGATGAATTGGCATATATGGTACAATTTGCATCGTTAATTTTCTCCTAAATATATATACATATATTAAATTAATTCGGTAGAATTGAAGCAAGCAATCACGAGACCATCGAGAATACGAGACATTCGAAAAAATTTATTTTTGTGCATTCCATGTATCGATGTTCGAAACTAGTAACCTCAAAATTTTAGTGTCCACCAACCTCTCTTTCAAAAATCAGTCAATATTGACTTTTTATCACTATCGTATATCAGATAGTTACAAGCTAAATTTTATATCCCCCGGAAAAAAATAGTTAGACTTAATTGTTTTACAAAAGTAATTATATATTCTGATAGCAGCACGCGAAATTCTCTACGGTCCTAAATATGCACGTTTTGAATTGCATTGGTTCGCTCACATAAAAATTCAAGCATAATGAAAGCACATTCGTCGTCAGATTCTCCCGAAAATTTATTTTTCCTTTTTCTTTTCATACTTATTTTAATATAAGAACACGCTTTTACAAAAGTATATATTCTGAAAGCATACGAAATTCTCTATCATCTTATATTATATGGTTACAAATATTACAGTCAGCTGTCAATGGTAAAAACCCACTGAATATCATTAAGATCAGAACTGACCAATGAATAATTATTCATAAGTCTTATATGATAACTAGATAATTATTCATCAGCTTCTGTATGAGTTACATGGAATTATTGAGAGTGCAATAATAATATTCGAAATATTCATCATCAAACAATTGAAAAGCAAGACTAGTCAAAGTACTGGTTGATAGAAAATTTTACATGCTTTCAGAAAATATACTTACTTTTGTAGTCGACTGTGCTTGAATTTCTATGTTAGCGACCTCAGGAGAATATACTCTATGGAATTTTTTATTCTCTGCAAAATATTATTGTCGAGGCAAAGCGGAGTTCATATCTATCTCTTACATAATGAGTTTTGATGATTTTTCAATAGAAAACTAAAAAAAAAATACAACATTTGAAATAATAGTCAAACACATTTTATAGAAGCTTTCTTTCTAAGAAAAATTTATCTCAGATTCTTCAGGAGTCAGTTTTTGTCAGGAAAATTAAAAATTGCATAAAATATGTAAAACTCAACTTGATACTCTTCAATTTTGCATCTCAACAGGATTTTAGAAAAAAAAAGTATTGGACGCAAAAAAAAAATCATGTCTAGTTTTTTTGTCTACTCGATGGTTTCATGATTGTTTGCTTAAAGAGACAAACAAAGTCTACCGCTCAATATCACAAAGTTTGCTAATTAAACTATCTTGTAAATCATCTTTCTTTAAAGATTCTTTTAATAATTTATGTAATTGAAAACGTGTTTCTTCTGAACATTTTTCTTTTTCATCATCATCATCATCATCATCATCATCATCATCATCACTATTGTCACCTTCATTTTTTTTATTTGTTGGTATTTCATCCATAATCAATTCTCTAAAATGATAAGAAAAAAAAACTAATTTTCAAATATAATAAATAAAGATTAATTTACTCATTGTTTGATGATGTTGATATTGGTAGTGTATTATTATCTGGAGATATTAAATCTAATGAAAGTGTTTGCATTTCTTTAAGCATTTTTTCTTCTGTTACAAACATTTTTTGATTCGTTCTATTTATTATTATTAAAACAAAATTAAGTTTAGAAAAATAGTTTTATACATTACTTTTCATCTAAATCACTTGCAGCTGCTTTGCGTTTTCGAAAACCTCCATTTGACCAAAAATTTGAATTATTTGTATTTAAACTATATGATCAATCGAAAATCAAAAAAAATTAAATGAACATTAAATAAAAATAATTTTTTACTTTGAATTATTTGATGTCATTCCTGACGAAGATGTTAAAGTAGAAAATGGTGTAGATTGCATTTTTATATGAAATGTTATAAAAAATAATCAAGTTTCAATTTCTAAAACGATTATAATCCTTAGTACGTAATCACTATACAAATAATAAATACATGTAAAGAAAAGATATATTCGTCGTACAACCAGTTGAAATATATTATTAAGATTCTATTTGTTTGTTGGTAATATGAGCAAACCAAGACACATGTAAATTACTGTCATTCATTCATTCTGTACTTGAAATTCAATAGTATATTTTTCTAGACAGAGGGCAGAACATGACGGACAATAAGCGACATTTTTTTCTAAAAATATCTATACGAGTATTCGATGAAACAACAATCTGTCAATTTGCTCTTGAATGAAACTCAATAAAATCGCTTTTTCTTTGTAAATATTTTGTAATAAACAAATCAATAATAGAATTTACAAGAAGACACTCCTTCACCTGTATCAGTCACGTGCTTATGTTGTAATCAAGATGTTTCAATAAAAACAAAAAGAACGTACAAGAACAATAGAAATTTCGCAATATCAAAATAATTTGATGTATATACAATATTCATAGTTGTTGTGAATCATATCATTTTTAAATATATAAAACGAAACGCATTTCAGTGCTCGTGACATACCTGGTGCGTAGATTAGTTAAGTTGATATTTTGCAATGGCTTCAAACGATAATAATGACGAAAAACCAAACTTACGACCAACTAAACGTATAGATGCTGGTGGTAAAAGTGTTTTTCTACATCATAATCCAAATCAACCATCAAATAAATCCTATATACATGCAATATGGAAAAATACCAATGAAAATTCTTCTGATAAACAAGATCCATTTGATATTCAACAACCTAATATTGAATATTCATTAAATAAAAAACATCGATGGGAACTTTTAAATGATTTTCGTCAACATATAACCAATCAATCAAGTTCATCATCAGACGATGAACTTGATGTACAATCAGATTCTGAACAACGACAAGCAAATTCGATGCAAAAAAAGAAAAAAATTCGCCGACGAGATAGAAATACTCATCAAACAAAATATCGTTTATATGAACTTCATAATACTAAACAGCAAGCTAATTGTGTTAGTATTACAAGTAATACAGGTTCACAACGTGTACAAATACCAAAAAAAATCTATATGCAAAGTCCAGTAAATGCATCAAAATTGAGACAACGTGAAATAACGAATGTTAATATTGAAAATGATAATACTCGACAAGAAGCTAATATTGATGTTACTTATTATGCTGTTGTACCACCACCAAAAGAAAAACAATTAGCCAATATTCGAAAACAACATGGCACGAAAGGTATTGATATAGAAATATTTTTTTTTTATCTATAAAATCTATGATTCGTTAATGATAGCTAAAAAAACTGTAGCAAGTATTCAACGTTCGAAATTTACTCAAGTTAAAGAACGTTTGGATGTTATTGAACAATTAGAAGTAGATAGAGAACAAACATCTACGGATAATGACGATGATGAACCAATAACACCGGTAAATATTTTTATTATTTTCTTTTTTTCAACTAAATTGATTTATGTCTAGACTTATATTGCACAAAACCCGGATAAATTACACTTAAATGATTTTATTCCTATTGTATCAACAAATGATAATGTTCCCATATCATCAATCACTGAAAATTTAGTAACAATAAATAAATTTGATCCAAAATCTTCATGTTTCTATATTGATGATATTGAAGCATCAAAACATTCGAAAAAATTTCATAGACAAATAAGTCGTGAAGAAAAACTTTATAATCGTGATAAAGCTGTTTATCTTCAAATGGTTTGTCTTTTTTTTGTTTCACATTTTATTTTATTCTTATTTTTTATGTATTTATTCATATAGCAAAAAAATAATGGTAAAAATAATCAACCAATTGAAAAATCTCATCATCATTTAATGTCATTATCATTTCGTTCAATATTAATAACAAAAACTGATTTAAATATTGATTATTTAACAAAAACATTTGGAAAAAATTTTATTCATGCTCAATGTTATCCAACAAAATATTTAATTTGTTTAACTGATCGTTTAAAATCATATAAATGGTTAAATAAATTTCAATATTTTCCAATTTATTCAATACTTAATTCTTATCTTATTATTATTTTAAATGATGAAATATCAAATAATGAAAATTTTATTCAAGTACAAGTTGGTCTTAATATGGATTTATATGCTGATACAATTGAAATTGAAAATTTATTTGAATCAACAGAATCAATATATAAAATAAATGATGTTATTGAAAAAACAATTGCATTTATAACCATATTACCATTTGATACATTTAAACCAATTGATTCTGAAATAAATCGTAAAAAATTTATTGAAAATACTGAAGATAGTGAATTAAGTGAAAGTGAATTTCTTAATAAACAAATTCGTCATGTACAATTACTAGATAAAAATCAAACACAAATAGAAACTACAATTGAAAATGAACAATTAAATAATAATGACATATCAATGGATGAATATGAATTAATTAAACCAGATATTTGTACAAGTTGCTATCGTGATATGAATGAAACAATATCTATGACTGCATTGAAATCTTGTGCACATTGGTTATGTAATGATTGTTGGAAACAATATCTTGAAAATTCTATTAAACGTGTTAATGTTGTTGTTTGTCCAGAATGGAATTGTTGTTCAATGGTTGATGTTGGTAAGATTTTCTGTAGAAATGAAATAAAGTTAAACAAAACGATACTGTTTCATAAGTAACATTATGAACATCAAGGATGAATATTATTTAAACTAGAACTATCAATGCGGCTTCCTGAGTCTCGAAATTCTTTAGTCTAATTTTTACAAAATTCAGCTATTTTCTAAAAATGGCATCCCCGATCGAAAAGTATGGAAATCAATCTAAGACCTCTGTTAATCTATATGTGCATGTCTAGAACAGTGTAAAGATTTACGTAAGATCGGTGAGTCTACTCTTCCTTGATATAAATATTAGAAACTGTAAATCTAATTAAACAAAAATTCTAGAAATAACATGCAGTGTTTTTAAGAGAACATAATCGAGAACTACAGATGAACTCAAAGATTTTAATTATCTTACAGAATTCTTTTGTCAAAGTCTGAAGAATCGTAAGTAATCCAACGTATTAATTCCGTAAAGCTATTTCTAAAATCATTCATTGTTATATTTTGTTTTTTCTTTCAAATAAACGAAAAATTTTTCTTTTAAATGAAACGAATACAAATACAAAGACTCGATTAAATATAATAAAACTACCCAATATTGTCTTAGATCTGAACTGTGTCAAGTTTTGATCTGAGAACGCTGATTTTGATCTATGTATGTTTATTCAAGAGAGTTTATTCAATTTGTTTAAAATATTGTTCTACCTTAAATGGTATTAAATTTCAACCATCGTTTGTGCTTGTAGGTACAATACTATCATTGGTTAATATTCGTTGTATGAACATTTATGAACGCAATATAGAGAAATGTCTTGTAAATTTATCTCGTTCTTATGTAAAATGTCCATTAAAATCATGTGCAAATATTGTTCAAGTAATTGGTTCACGTATTGATTATATACGTTGTCGTTGTAGTCATCGATTTTGTATAAATTGTAAACAAGAACCACATTTTCCAGCCACATGTAGTGCATATCGTATCTATATGGATGAAGTCTTTCGCAATGGAGATCTTATATCTGATTATAATGCTATAACGCAATTAAAAGGACGAAATTGCATATCATGCAATAATTTTATTGAAAAAAATGGTTAGTTCACTTTTATTCTATTTAATCTAAATCGAATTCAAATGTGATTTTCTTTTGTCCTAGGTGGTTGTAATCATATGACATGTTCATGTGGTGCTGAGTTTTGTTGGAGTTGTACAGGTTATTGGAAGGATCATAATGCACCTGATGGAACATTTCGTTGTCCAAAAGAAACTATACCGTTACAAGAAGAAACTATAGCTAAACAACATAGTCAATCTCGACGTTTTTATTATGATGCAATTTATCATCGACATCAACGTATTCTTCTAAGTCATCCTAAACAAAACGAAAATGCTAAGCGTTTACTTGGCACAATACCATTACAAAAAGGAACTTTATTCAATACTACTCATTTAAAATCTCAAATAGATAAACGTGAATCTGTTTTACGACATTTATATGAAATGGTTAAATATATTGAATATTTACATTATGTTTGTGAATTTATAGCTGTTTCCGCTGAAGGCTATGGAAATAATCCACGTGAATTTCGTAATAGTTTACAACCACTTGAAACAATTGTTTTTAATATGAGTCAAGTCTTAGAAGGTGGAAAAGGTTATAAAGCTATTGAACAATTAAATCAATTACATGCAGCAAGTGAAAAAATTATTGAACGTCTTCGACGTGCTGTTACATTAAGAGAATTACGTCGAATAAAAACAGTTGGTTATGTTACTTCGTAAAAAAAAAAAACAAAAATAAATTTTGCATTCGTTTTTCTTTTCTTTCTCTATTATATTGAAATACATTTAAATCATAATGCAACATATTAACAAAAAGAAAAAATATCACAGACTATTGCTAAACAACTACTTCATAAAAAAGTTTTTTTATACGATTTGGTGTAGAATTTTCACTTGAAGATGAACTTTGAATGATTGAGGAACGTTGTTTTAAAGGTGACAGAATCGATGGAAAACCATATTGAGGTATTAATATTGAATTAGGATTTTTATGTATTTCATTATTACCAAAAAGAATATTTGTATGTTGAGTTATACAACTTGATTCTGATGATGGATTTGAACCAGATCGCGAATTACTACGACTCCAATGAGGTGATGTATGAATTGTTGCTGTACGTATTGCTGTTCCATCTAAAATCATACAAAAATTTCAGTTCAATGTCAATTTAAAGTATGAAGATTTAAATCAAAGCAAATAGAATCAATTATTTTCCTTTTGATTTACATAAAAAGCAAAAAGATATTTACATTGAATTTCATCTT